AGTCCTTTCAGTTTGGTCAAATGTCCTCCAATTTATTCACCAGGTTTCAATCTCGAACCATGGAATTCAGACATGAGCAAACATGAAGATTCAATTGAAACAGGCCTGTAGCAATTTTCCAATTGGGCCCAAATTTGTTGGGCTGTTGCATCAGACGAAAATGTAACCTGCAGTTCAGTATCCATGGACATCAATAATGTTGTGCAAGCTTTAGTTTCTAAATCTCTTATTGCAGGAGACCATGGCTGAGCAGGGGGATTAAAGATCATACAGTGAGTACCTTCTCTGCGAAGTAACAATCCAATCTCACTGACCCAGGCCTTATAATTCTGTCCTGACATCTTTAATTTTGACTCACCAGCTAGTGGAGCAACAGAAGGTGCCTGTTGAGGAATGTGCATTTGAGGTGTTGGCTGTGGAAGTAAAGGCACTTGTTGCGCTGGAGGTGGACCAGGAGCTGGCCCTGGTTGTACAGCTGGAGGCACGTGTGCATGCATTTGTGGTTGAGGCTGTTGCACTGGAATCTGCTGTGTTCCAGCTGCCATTTGTGCTCGAGCTGCAATATTAGCGTGACCTGCTGGAGATGCAGTCATTGGCCTTTGCTGCATTAAGCTTTGTTGTGTTCCATCTAAGAGGACACCAGCACCACCAGGGGGTGCTGGAGATTGAGCCTGTGGAGACACTTGTTGCATTGCAGCCTGAATATCTGAGTGAGTTAGAGACATGTTTGCTAAAGTCTGCTGTAATAGTTCAAAATGTTCATGTAGGCTGCAATGCCTTTCAGCTTTCTCTAGTAAATTACTTTTGCCAGCAGATGGTGCTGCACCTTTAGTTTCGGGCAGCTCAGATAATCTCTCTGCTGATGTGGCACTTTTAATCTTAGAATAGGAGTGATTATGTAAGACATGTGACGTGTGCACAGCTCTCTGTTCTGATTGGCCTGACACAAAATCCACCAGGGGGAGTGTCTTTGGCTCCGAAGAAGAAGGAGCCAAAATGGCGCTTTTAGAGATTTTGAAGTCACGAGATTCTCCCTTATCTTGCTCAAGCATAAATAAATCCATTTTTGGCTGGGATAGCTCCTGTTCATAAAATTTTATATGGTCACAATAGGCTTTTATAGCCAGCTCATCCAGGGCGAGCTCAGAGCTTTGAGGAGAATAATGAATTATTTCTCTTTCTGCGTAGGAGGGAAAATGCTGGGCAGTTTGTGAATGTTTTGGCCTTGCACCAAGCGTTACAAAAACAGAAGGCTCTGGGAGGACTGTTTGAGAGCATGCATATTCAGAAGGAGACGCTACTGACCTCAGTTGTAGCCCATTATCTTCAAAAGCAGTTTCTCTCTTATCTCTCTCCTGATGCCTTTTTAAGAGCATTTCATCTGTTTCTTCTCCTCCCACGGTTCCCACAGCTTCTAGTTCCAGGCGTGTGGCTGTAGCAAGGGGCTCGAAGTTTGAAATCCTCCTTTCTGCCTCTTCTTCGTAGGAGAGGTTGAAATCATTAATAGGGAATGCTCTGAGTTTCATTTTGCCCTTTTTCTTCTGTTTCGGCATCTTAGCAGACAATTAATTAGCATTCCTTGGTCGCAAAAAAAATATCTGTCTAATTAGCCTAGAGGTCTTATCAAAGTAGTGAGCAAGGAAAAAGCCATAAATCAATCATCGTCCTGCTACGAGGTGTCAGGGCGCTGATTAATCCCATTCTGTGACCGTGTCGTGCCTTTGCGGCCTCTGACCCGATGCTGATCTCAATTGGCTCCTTGGTTCTCTGAGGAGCTGAGAGAGATGAAGCGTCGGAAAAGACGCCTAGAGAGCATTTGGAGGACTAGTCAATCCGATTCCGACCGGACACAGGTGAGGTCTTATATCAAGACCTACCTAGTGGTGATAAAAACGGCAAAATCTAACCATTATTCCGCTCTTATCGCATCTGCAGAGAACTGCCCAGCCGCCCTGTTTAGGATGACCCACTCCCTTCTTCGGGGGGGGGAGTGCGGGAAGATCCCTTGCAGGGTCGTGCTGAGGATTTTGTGCAATTCCTGCACGATAAAGTCGCTCGGATTCGGGATAGCTTGGACTCCGATTGGACGAGTCCACGGGAGGAGACGAGGGCAGGTCTTGAGAATGTTATCTGGGAGGAGTTTGATCCTATGGCTCCCGAGGATGTGGACAGGGTTCTGGGTAAGATTAGTGCTGCCACATGTTTATTGGACCCGTGTCCCTCCTGGTTGGTACTGGCCTCCCGGGAGGTTACATGAGGCTGGCTCCAGGGGATTATAACTGCTTCTCTGAGCGAGGGTGCCTTTCCTGCCGCCTGGAAAGAGGCGGTAGTGAGGCCCCTCCTCAAGAAGCCTTTCCTGGACCCGGCTGAATTAGCCAACTACCGTCCGGTCTCCAACCTTCGTTTTGTGGTGAAGGTTGTTGAGAGCGTGGTGGCACGACAGCTTCCCCGACACCTGGATGAAGCTATCTATCTGGACCCGTGCCAGTCGGGCTTCAGGCAGGGGTACAGCACAGAAACGGCATTGGTCGCGTTGGTGGATGATCTCTGGAGGGCTCGGGACAGGGGTTGCTCCTCTGTCCTAGTCCTATTAGATCTCTCAGTGGCTTTTGATACCATCGACCATGGTATCATGCTGCAACGGTTGAAGGGGTTAGGAATAGGGGGCACCGTTCTGCGGTGGTTCTCCTCCTTCCTCTCCGACCACTCGCAGTTTGTGTTGGCAGGGGGACAGAGGTCGACCTCGAGGCATCTCGCATGGGAAGTGCTGCAAGGGTCGGTCCTCTCACCCCTCCTGTTCAACATTTCTGTGAAGCCGCTGGGTGAGATCATCCGTGGTTTTGGGGTGAAGTGTCATCTGTACGCTGACGACACTCAGCTGTACATCTCCACCCCAGACCACCCCAACGATGCCCTTGATGTGATGTCTCACTGCCTGGAGGCCGTGCGGGTCTGGATGGGGAGGAACAGGCTCAGACTCACCCCTTCCAAGACCGAGTGGTTGTGGCTTCCGGCGTCCCGATATAGTCAGCAGGTGCCATCGCTGACTATTGGGGGTGAATCTTTGCCCCTCACAGAGAGGGCTCGCAATCTGGTTGTCCTCCTGGACGCACGGCTGTCTTTAGAAGAGCATATGACGGCCGTGGCCAGGGGGGGCCTTTCATCAGGTCCGCCTGATTCGCCAGTTGCAGCCCTTTCTGGACCGGGACGCCTTGCGCACAGTCACTCACGCCCTTGTTACCTCCCGGTTGGACTATTGTAATGCTCTCTACATGGGGCTCCCCTTGAAGAGCACTCGGAGGCTCCAACTGGTCCAGAATGCGGCCGCGCGGGTGGTTATGGGTGCAACCCGTTGCGCCCACATGACACCCCTCCTGCACGAGCTGCACTGGCTCCCAGTGGTCTTCCGGGTGCAATTCAAGGTGTTGGTTACCATCTTTAAAGCGCTCCATGGCACAGGACCCGGGTACCTTCGAGACCATCTTCTGCCACCAATAGCCTCCCACTGACCAGTCCACTCCCACAGAGAGGGTCTCCTCAGGGTGCCATCGGCCAAGTCATGTCGGCTGGCGACACCCAGGGGGAGGGCCTTCTCTGTGGGAGCCCCAGCCCTGTGGAATGAACTGCCCCCGGAAATTCGTAAGATTTCTGACCTCCGGGTATTTCGCTGCACACTCAAGACCCTATTGTTCCGCCAGGCTGGGTTAGCAACATAATTTTAAATTGGATGTTTTAAATTTTGGGGCTTTTAAATTAAGCCAAATTTATTTAATATTTTTAAATTATTTTAAATTGATGTCTATTCTGTTTTTAAATAGGCTGTACACCGCCCTGAGTCCTTTGGGAGAAGGGCGTTATAGAAATAAAATTATTATTATTATTATTATTATTATTATTATTATTATTATTATTATTATTATTATTATTATTATTGTTGTTGTTATTATTTCATAGGATATCCATATCCATATCTAGAGTAATTATCAACAATTGTTAGGAAATATTTACTACCACCAAATGATGGCAGAAAAGGACCAACTATGTCAGTGTGAACCAAATCAAAAATGCGTGTTGACGCATTTGGGAATAGCACGTTTGGGAATGGCTGCTGCTTTGGATTTGGCCTTTTTGCAGACAGCACAATCAAAAACATCTTATACCCCTTTAGATCCAAATCTTTGGCTCCGAAGAAGAAGGAGCCAAAATGGCGCTTTTAGAGATTTTGAAGTCACGAGATTCTCCCTTATCTTGCTCAAGCATAAATAAATCCATTTTTGGCTGGGATAGCTCCTGTTCATAAAATTTTATATGGTCACAATAGGCTTTTATAGCCAGCTCATCCAGGGCGAGCTCAGAGCTTTGAGGAGAATAATGAATTATTTCTCTTTCTGCGTAGGAGGGAAAATGCTGGGCAGTTTGTGAATGTTTTGGCCTTGCACCAAGCGTTACAAAAACAGAAGGCTCTGGGAGGACTGTTTGAGAGCATGCATATTCAGAAGGAGACGCTACTGACCTCAGTTGTAGCCCATTATCTTCAAAAGCAGTTTCTCTCTTATCTCTCTCCTGATGCCTTTTTAAGAGCATTTCATCTGTTTCTTCTCCTCCCACGGTTCCCACAGCTTCTAGTTCCAGGCGTGTGGCTGTAGCAAGGGGCTCGAAGTTTGAAATCCTCCTTTCTGCCTCTTCTTCGTAGGAGAGGTTGAAATCATTAATAGGGAATGCTCTGAGTTTCATTTTGCCCTTTTTCTTCTGTTTCGGCATCTTAGCAGACAATTAATTAGCATTCCTTGGTCGCAAAAAAAAATCTGTCTAATTAGCCTAGAGGTCTTATCAAAGTAGTGAGCAAGGAAAAAGCCATAAATCAATCATCGTCCTGCTACGAGGTGTCAGGGCGCTGATTAATCCCATTCTGCCTTTGGGATAATCGCACCTTGATTATGAGGAGTGGATCAAGACTTTTCCTTGCAAGCATACTTTTAAGAAAACAAAATCCGAAGATATATCTTCTAATAAACTCATTTATTTGTTATAAAGAAAATAAAACATCTAACTGTTCTAATTAGTTACATTTTGATATAAAGTTCGTGCCGGCTGCTTCTCAGCAGTCAGACTTCTTGGCAAGAGAAGAAAGAAAAGATGTGAAGGAATGTGGGTGGAGACACCTGCGCAGTTTAGCTTACTGATAAGGATTCCTGGCAAGCTACGGAAAGTCTGATAGTCCAGAAATGAGAGCTCAGCTGGCGTTCCTAGGGACTGAGCACTGCCCTTCGCCCAGGACACCAGCCCTCTCATGCTCAGAGCCAGGGGCAGGACCAAGGCGCCATCACAGATCTAAGGCTGGTCACGGTCCAGCTTGGATGGCTGCTGCCAGGTGGCAAATCAGTGCTGCACCTGCGCCGACACCTCCATGCTCCTCTCGCTGGCCTTTCCCTGGGACTGTCTTGCCCCACGTGGGAAAGCCACGCTGCCAATCTCTCCCCCTCCCCTTGCCCCTTGTGCATGTAGGGAGGAAGAGGTGGGAAGGAGAGGGCATCGGACTCTGGCCGCTTTTGCCTGCCAGCATGCCATGGACGGTAAGAGGTTGCACAGGGTCTGGGGCGGGGGGATGTGGAAGGCGAACGACGGTTTGCCATCAGACATGGAGGCTACGGAGGGGAGGGTGGACAAAAAGGGAAGCTCTGAATTTTGATCCCTTCCCTTGTTGTTGCCTCTGTGCCTGATGGATCTCTGTGTGACTCTCAGCTCACCTCTCCGACCCGTGCACGTGCGCGCATGAGCACGTAAGGTCTCCCCCCTTGCAGCCCGGTGCTGTGACAATGGAGAGGAAAAGATCAGGAGAGTCTGGGTGCTGAGAAAAAGAAACAAGCATTACAAAAAACAGCTTTCGTTAGCTTGCACTTTGCATCCTACCATCACAGAAGTTTGTTTGAGTGAGTGTCAGGGGTGGGTTCTAAAATTTTTGTACTACCAGTTCTGTGGACGTGGCTTATTTTGTGGGCGTGGCTTAATAATTGTCATGGGACAATTATTTAGGATTTAGCAGAGATACTGGTCTACGAAGCTTTTAACTGCTTGCAGAGCTTTACTGATCTACCCATTTATTTTTTGCAGGCACCGGTCTACTCATTTGTTTTCTTTTACCACTGATCAGCTGTAGGGCGGCCCTTTGAAGCCCCTGGGCAACAGTTTAAACAGTTTTTTCTCTCTCTAGCCATCAGCTGGGACTCAGGAGGCAGCAATAGATTGGGGGTGTGGCGAAATAAAACGTAAGAATAACGCGGGGGGGTGGGGGGGGCGCAGGGGGGCAGAACCGGTTCAGTGACATCATATCATCACCGCTACCAGCTCGGGAGAACCGGGCTGAACTGGGAGGAACCCACCACTGGTGAGTGTGTGTTTGTGTGGAGGGGGGTGGGGCAGGTGGAGGTGTCTCACTCACTTGCACTCACTCACTTGCAGCCTACAAGCTCATTGTAGGCTGAAAGCTAACAAAAGCTGTTTTTTTGCAATGCTTGTTTCTTTCTCTCAACCCCCAGCCTTTCCCGATCTTTTCCTCTCCAATATCACAGCACTGGCTGGGCTGCAAGGGGCACACACACACACACACACACACACACACACACACAAACATACACGTGCACGAGTCTGGGAGCTGGGAGCTAAAAACCATGCTGAAGCAATGATGGGGGAGGGGTCAGTATGGGAAGCCTTTGTCGGGAGCCTCTTGGCAGCTTAAAAAAAGAAAGGAAAGGAAAGCGGGAAGGGAGGGAGGGAGGAGTGAGTGGCAACTTTATTAGCAATCCAAGTTAACATTGGTATTCTTGAATTGTGAGCTCGCAGGAAAGTATCCCCTCCTTGTGTGTTGCAAGCAGCCATTTCCAGTGGGGAACTTGTTGTTCTGTAACCATTAGGTTCCTGTAATACACATATGGCCTTTTGTATTTGTACAACACACATATATTGTACCTTTATATCTGTAACACAAATATGCCTTTGTATTTGTATCACATATATTATATGCCTTTATATTTGTATCTCCTGTAACAAACATATGCTGTTATTAGGCCTCTGTAAGGTGTCTGGTATTTGTCAAACATATGTTCCTGCCATTTGATCTGAACCCATATCAATCTTCTTCCTGTTTTTCTTATGCCATCTAAGAGCATGGTACTTATCTCAGTTGGAACTGCAGACATCATCCGAGGGATAATTTTACACTTCAGCCCTAACTTACACCTTTGATTATACAGATCAATTTATTTCTCGGATGATGCAGAACCAGGAGCCAAATGGCCAATTGAGAGAACAAAGGAATGCTCAAGGAAGAGATAACGCTAATTGGGAAACTTCTATTCCTTTGCAGGGCAACAAGGAATACACAAACCTGAACTAGGAGGCCAGAATTGGGTACTAAGCTGATGTCTCTGAGGGTATAAAAAGGACGCCTTACCTTCCCCAAGGTGTGGCTATCTCCTCACATGCATTGTATCTGTATGTTCTGGATATAGTCCCACCCAGTATTTTGTTTCTGGCCATAAATAAAATCTGCTTCTTTTTGCAAGCCTCGTCTTGAGTCTCTCTTTTTGGCATTCTGGTGACTCAAGTACATTTTGGGACCTTACAGTACATAAAAAACAGAGGAGTTCTGATCAACTATCACAACCAACATTTTGACAAGTTTTGCTGTTGTCTGTGGACTCTCCCACTAGATGCAAGCACCGGATAAACTGAGCCTGGTTTGTTTTCAGTCTTTGGCCACAAAAGGAAGGAAGGAAGGAAGGAAGGAAGGAAGGAAGGAAGGAAGGAAGGAAGGAAGGAAGGAAGGAAGGAAGGAAGGAAGGAAGGAAGGAAGGAAGGAAGGAAGGAAGGAAGGATTATAATAAGAGGGAGTCAGATTCTGAGGAAAGTCCTACCTTAGTATTTGGCCACCAGCTGCCCTTCTGCCCTTTCGCTAACCCCTTGTCCCCTCCTCCTGACTCTCCTGGTAGTCTCCCATCCTATTGCTGAGGATGCTTTAGTTACAAAGTTTGGGCTCCTCGCATGGAGAAGGAGTGGCCCTCCCTCTGACACACACACTTTGCCCTCCTGCATACACCATGAACAATGTGCCCATGGACAGCGAGCATAGCAGCAGCCTTGAGGAGGAGGTAAGCACAGCCGGGCACCCACTGGGGGAAGCAGGGCTGGGCTGTGGGGTCCCAGTGCAACGGGAGCTTGAGGGCCAGGCTGGGCGCTTATGCTCCTAGGATTCTGGGCAGCCTGCACTACTGCCAAGGGGTCCTTTGCGTGGCCTGAGAGGGATGAGGAGAACAAGATTTTTGGCGCTTAACATTATCTCACCTTCCTCTGCTGGAGACAATGGATCCCCCCAGACCTGCCTGGGCCACCACAGGTGCCCCATGACACAAGAGATGTCGAGCTCGCCATGTGACATCACCCCACCACCCCCACCCACAAGATCAACCACAATCCTGATGCGGCCCTCAATCAAATTGTTTGACTCTGCTGGTCTGGACACTCATATGGTTTCTCTCCTGTGTGAGTCCTCTGGTGGTTCACCAGGGAAGAACGGTAACTGAAACATTTCCCACAATCTGGACACTTGCATGGTTTCTCTCCTGTGTGAGTCTTTTGATGTTTCACCAGACTGGAATTGACACTGAAACCTTTCCCACACTCAGGACATTCAAAGGGTTTCTCTCCTGTGTGAGTCCTCTGGTGTATCACCAGGCTCGCATTCTGACTGAAACATTTCCCACACTCAGGACATTCAAAGGGTTTCACTCCTGTGTGAATTCTCTGGTGTTTCACCAGGCTGGAATTGTGACTAAAACGTTTCCCACAATCTGGACACTCATATGGTTTCTCTCCTGTGTGAGTCCTCTGGTGGATCACCAGATGGCAGTTATGACTGAAATTTTTCCCACAATCTGGACACTCATATGGTTTCTCTCCTGTGTGAGTGCTCTGGTGGATCACCAAGTCAGAACGGTAACTGAAACTTTTCCCACAATCTGCACACTTGTGTGGTTTGTCTCCTGTGTGAGTCTTTTGGTGTTTCACCAGAGAGGAATTGAGACTGAAGTTTTTCCCACAATCAGGACATTCAAAGGGTTTTTCCCCTGTGTGATTCCTCTGGTGGTTCACCAGGCTGGAATTCCGACTGAAACTTTTCCCACAATCAGAACATTCAAAGGGTTTCTCTCCTGTGTGAGTCTTTTGGTGTTTCACCAGAGAGGAATTGAGACTGAAGTTTTTCCCACAATGAGGACATTCAAAGGGTTTCTCCCCTGTGTGAGTCCTCTGGTGCTTCACCAGGCTGGAATTGTCACTGAAACCTTTCCCACAATGAGGACATTCAAAGGGTTTCTCCGCTGTGTGAGTCCTCTGGTGTTTCACCAGGCTGGAATTGTCACTGAAACCTTTCCCACAATCAGGACATTCAAAGGGTTTCTCCCCTGTGTGAGTCCTCTGGTGTTTCACCAGGCTGGAATTGTCACTGAAACCTTTCCCACAATCAGGACATTCAAAGGGTTTCTCCCCTGTGTGAGTCCTCTGGTGTTTCACCAGGCTGGAATTCTCACTGAAACCTTTCCCACAATCAGGACATTCAAAGGGTTTCTCCCCTGTGTGAGTCCTCTGGTGGTTCACCAGGTTGGATTTATGACTGAAACTTTTCCCACACTCAGGACATTCAAAGGGTTTCTCTCCTGTGTGAGTCCTCTGGTGTATCACCAGGTGGGAATTTGCTCTGAAACGTTTCCCACAATCTGGACACTCATATGGTTTCTCCCTGGTGTGAGTCCTCTGGTGGATAATGAGGTGGGAATTCTGTCTGAAACTTCTCCCATAATCAGGACATTCAAAGGGTTTTTCTCCTGTGTGAATCCTTTGGTGTATCACCAGGTAGGAATTCTGACTGAAGCTTTTTCCACATTCAGGACATTCAAAGGGTTTCTCTCTTGTGTGAGTCCTCTGGTGTTTCACCAGGTGGGAATTCTGTCTGAAACTTTTCCCACACTCAGGACATTCAAAGGGTTTTTCTCCTGTGTGAATCCTTTGGTGGTTCACCAGGTTAAAATGGTGACTGAAACTTTTCCCACAATCTGGACACTCATATGGTTTCTCTCCTGTGTGAGTCCTCTGGTGTATCAGCAGGTTGGAATTGAGAGTGAAGTTTTTCCCACAATCAGGACATTCAAAGGGTTTCTCTCCTGTGTGAGTCCTCTGGTGGCTCACCAGGCTGGAATTTTGACTGAAACTTTTCCCACACTCAGGACATTCAAAGGGTTTCTCTCCTGTGTGAGTCCTCTGGTGGCTCACCAGGTCAGAACGGTAACTGAAATTTTTCCCACAATCTGGACACTCATATGGTTTCTCTCCTGTATGAGTCCTCTGGTGGTTCACCAGGTTAGAACGGTAACTGAAACTTTTCCCACAATCTGTACACTTGTGTGGTTTGTCTCCTGTGTGAATCTTTTGGTGTTTCAGCAGACTGGAATTGAGACTGAAGTTTTTCCCACAATCAGGACATTCAAAAGGTTTGTCCCCTGTGTGAATCCTCTGGTGGTTTACCAGGTGACAACGGTAATGGAAATGTTTCCCACAATCTGGACAGTCGAACGGTTTCTTTCCTGTGTGAGTCCTCTGGTGGTTCTCCAGGCTGGAATTGAGACTGAAACTTTTCCCACAATGTGGACATTGAAAAGGTTTTTCAGGACATTGAAAAAAAATTTGAGGACATTCAAAGGGTTTCTCTTCTGTGTGAGTCCTCTGGTGTATCACCAGGTGGGAATTTGCTGTGAAACGTTTCCCACAATCTGGATACTCATATGGTTTCTCCCTGGTGTGAGTGCTCTGATGTATCAAAGTTGCCATGCTTGCAAAAGCATTTACCACATTGGGAGCAGTTGTAGGGCATCTCTACTATGAGGATCCTTCTATGAATCGCAAGGGAGTTATTCTGACTAAAGTTTTGCCACATTCAGAGTATTTATATGGCTTTTGTTCAGTGTGGATCCTCTTGTGATTTGAACTCTTTACTTTTCCCACAATAGGCACATCTATGGAGCTTTTCCATCATTGACATTCTTGAGGAGGTCAAAAATACGTGTGATTCCTTATTTTGTTGGTGCCTGCATTACTGGCTGCCATATGTGACTATCCAATTGACATTTTCTTCCCCACTGGCTTCCAGGTATTTCCCTCTTTTTCTGAACGGAAAAATGATCTCCTTTGACCTTTTCAAGTAACGTGTTCTTAAATTCTATATAATCTACTTTTTCCAGCTGCAAATCTCTTCATGATTTTCTCTTTTCTGTCTCTTATCTGCTGATGAAGTAGATGAATTCTGTGGTTTTCTGAAGGAAATAGAAAATATTTTTTATTTCTGCTTCAATTTGCTTTGCTTTTCAGTGTTGCTTGTTATTCTCAGTTGTCCAGTGTGCTTATGTTGGCATCATCTTTGCCTGTAAGATTCAAAAGAAAGTGTAAGTTTTATAGTTTATGAAAGGGTTGCAGAAGATGTGAAAAAAAGAAGTACAGGTAATCCTTTAGGTACGACTGGCCATTCAACGACTGTTTGAAGTTACAACACTCCCCCAAATGCTAAATACGAATCTGCGCCAAAGTTGAATTTCTGCAGCGCCTCCCACCCCGGGAGTCCTTGACTCCTTCACTGCAGAGATGCTGCAGCATACCCACCCATCTATTTCCCTTCCATCTTGCCCAGTCAGTCCTCACAATCCCCCAGACCCCAGTATGTTGGCCTGCTTTGCAATATACTATGCATTCCTCCCCAACCCCACTCCCCCATCACCATTCACTTACTAAATTTCTGACGAGCTCAGGAAGTCATCTGGGCCACGTGGCATAATCAAGAAGAAGAAATATAAACTCTTTTGTTTCCATGGCAATCCTTTCACTCCAGCCAACATTAGTGATTTACCCTGTCTGAGGAGGAAAGGATTGCCATCGAAGCAAAAGAGATGAGATTTCTTCTTTGCTCTACCAGCACAAAACTAATGTAAAGCTAGTGCTAGTGGGGCTAAGAAGAAATCATGCCTATTTTGCTTCCGTTGCAATCCTTTTCTTTCCAATCAGCATAAACTACTATGATTTCTTCTTAGCTACACCGGCACTAGTTTTATGCTGGCGAAGAGATCTAAGAAGTTATTTTTGTGGTTTACCCTGGCTGGGGAGGAAAGGATTGTCATTGAAACAAGAGATCAGATGTCTTCTTTGCTCTATCAGCGCTAGCTTTATGCTAGTCTTACGCTGGTAGAGCAAAGAAGTAATCCCATCTCTTTTGTTTCCATGCCAATGATCCCAAGCTCAACAGCAAATCTACAGCAGAATGGCTGAAAAAGAAAAGAATCAAGGTTTGCAATAGCAAAGTCCAGACTTCACCCCAATTGAAATGCTGTGGTGGGACCTCTCGAGAGGTGGGCATAAACAAATGCCCACAAACCTCAGTGAACTGAAACAATGTTGTAAAGAAGAGTGGGCAAAAATTCCTCCACAAGAATGCAGGAGACTGTTTTTGGTCATACAGAAAACAATTAAATAGTATAGGATAGGTCAAAGCTTCTAGAGGTGATATCCAACAAGGTACTTTGGTATAATATTTTTTAGTAAACTTCTCCCAACTCCGAATTAAAATATTCCTTATATAGTGCCGAGTGAACCATTTACTTTGGGGGGCATTGTCCTGCCGGAGTGCCGCATGCCAACCTTGTTGCAAGTCGTGGCCTTCTATCCTAAGAAGACGCTTGTTCCTTAAAATAATCCATTCTTTAACCCAAACTAGTAAGGCGGCTAAATAATAATTCTCCCAGCATGGTAAACCAAGACCCCCTCTTTCTTTTGTCTCCTGCATCATTTTCTTTTTAATACGGGGTTTTTTCCCTTGCCATACAAATTTGGTTACTAACTGGTTTAGATCTGTAAAAAATTTATTTGATAGATTCGCTGGAGCTGTTTGAAAAAGAAAATTAAATGTTGGTAGAACATAAGATTTTATTGTTGCTACCCTTCCCAAGAGTGATAATTGAATTTTACCCCACTTATCAAGATCTTTCCTTACCTGAGTTAGTATTTTAGTATAATTATCCTCCTGGATGCTCGAGCATCTACATGTTAACCAAATTCCCAGGTACTTGACTTTACTAACTACTCTAAGTCCTTTGCTTCCACTAGATCCTGCTTGCCTTTCTCTGAGATATTCTTAGTTAAAATATTCATCTTCTTTTTATTAATTAACAGACCTGCTACAGCCCCAAATTCCTCAATTTTTTCCAGTAAGGATATGCCTGATTTTAAAGGGTCTTCCAAGATAAAGGCCATATCATCTGCGAAGGCCTGGGTCTTCTATGTCTGATCTCTAATTTTAAGTGGTGTGTGTGCATGAACCATTAGCAAACCCACCTTTGATGATGACGTGATGTAATATGTCATGTGTTGTTGTTCGTCTGAAGTTGTATTCACCTATTTTTAAGAGCGTACAGACCAGATGATTTTTAGTATGTCCTGATATATAAAATCATACAACTCAAAGAGGGTGTACTTTGTTTTTAACATGACTGAATATCTAGAAGCACTGGGGATAGATTATCCAACTGCAGAGAGAATTACATTTACACCTACAAATGTATATATGTGAAAAATCCATGTTTTCAGCCTGAAAAATGTCCCAAAATGGTTACAATTAAACCTTCTGAACTAAATTTAGAGATGTGGGGGCTTTAACTGATGAAATGATGCCTAAAGCGTCTGCAAAATTTGAAACACCAGTTATACCGATGGAAGTCCTCAGCTCCAAATAAGAAAATACTGTCCTCCTGTCCACAATTCCTCTGGTGACATCCCCTTTCAAGGAGTCCTCACATTTGGGACTGGGATCTGTGTCACTAAGCAGCCCGATCATAAAGCATGATGTCACATTAACTGCCAACTTACATCTGTTCCTGTGGAGTTGTTAAGCAAACCACTGTGGGTTGTTAAAGGCAATTTCACATGACTGTCACTTGCAATTTCTTGCCATCCTCACTAACTTTGCCTATGAGAAACAAGCTGGGAAGGTCAAAAATGGGGATCATGATGGTGGGATGTTGCGACCATCATAAATGTCCATCGGTTGGCAGCATCCAAACCAAATAGCCCAACTTGCTTCTGGCCTCTCCTCCAACTTGCCCGCAACTCACCTTCCAGCTGATGCTTCAACTTTTAGAAGAGCACAAAAGCCGCTCTGCAAGCCACCTTCCACCCATGAGGGATCCGGTACAGGAAGTTCCTCTGGGCTTCTCTTCTTCCTCATTCCTTTCTAGCAATACAGTACTTGATGGTTTTAACTCCTTTAAGGATCAACCACAGATGCAGCTACTGTATTGACGGCTTTGTAGGCGCAGAAGTGACCGCCATCTCCCGACAGGAGGCGAAAAAACACGCTTGTCCCGTCTCTGCTTAAGGCGTTTGCAAGATGTTGTCACTGATTATATGCTATCAAGTTGTTTTAGACTCCCAGCATCCTATCTTTGCAACAGAGCCAAGTAAAAGAGTGAAATGTGAAGCTACTTAAGCTTCTGAAGATTACATGCTGAGCCCTAAATGTTTTTTTTTATTGAAAAGTTGTAAAATGTTTTATAAACAAATTCCCCCCCTTTCCCCCCTTCCCCTCTCCCTCCCCCCCCCCGACTTCCCAGAGCAAAATACAGGGTATTTCACATAATCTAACATAAGCAAACTAACTATAAGCTCTTAACTTCCCCTTACTCTTTAACTCCGCCATAGGTACTAAAATGTCAAAGTAAAAAGAAAAATCATCTAAATATTTCATTCATAAGCTATTTGCAACTTTTTAGTCCCGTATTTGTTTTGTATATAGTCAATCCATCTTCTCTATTCCAGTACATATCTTTCATTCAAACTGTCCTTCAAATATGCAGAGATTTTAGCCATCTCCGTATAACTGTACATCCTTCGATTATACCCAATAAAAACAACTGTGGAGTAAATTTTATCTTCCTTTTATGAATATTTTGTATAATCCACTATATCTTAATCCAATTTTCTGATCTTCTTTCCACCTAGTATACAACTGCCCATACTGAAACCAGGTTTGAATTTTCCTTTCTTCCTTTAATACCTCTAAAGACTTCAATTGCAATATACCTCTTTCCAAAATAAGAAGCTCTTTATAAGTAATCACATCTTGTTTCTGCTCCACACTTATATTTTCTATCATATGTCTAGGTATTGTCCAAACCGGTAATTTATTATTTAATTTATATTGATACTTTTTCCATACACGGAATAATGCATTTCTTAATATATGACTTTTAAAATTCTTATCCACCTTTTATCATATAGTAAATATGCATGCCATCCATATAACAAATCATACCCTTCAATATTCAATATTCTCTCTTCTGTTAAATTAATCCAATCACTAATTGCTGAGAGCACAGCTGCCTCGTAATACAATCTTAAATTAGGCATTTTGAGACCTCCTCTTTCACGTATATCTTGCATTATTTTCCGTTTTATCCTTGGTCTCTTTCCTGCCCACACAAAATTAGTAATACCCTTCTGCCATTCGTTCAAATTTCCATCTTTTTTCAGTATTGGTGTCATTTGGAAAAGAAATAAGAACTTTGGCAAAATATTCATCTTTACTGCAGCTATCCTTCCCAGCAATGATAATTGCAATTTTTTCCAACTTTCCATCTCTTTCTGGATTTTTTGCCACAATAATTCATAATTACACTTATATAGTTTCGCATTTGATGTTGTAATATAAACCCCTAAATACTTAACCTTCTTAACTGATTCAAATCCTGTTATTCTTTCAATTTCTTCCTTTTGACTTGTAACCATATTTTTAATTATTATCTTTGTTTTCCCTGCGTTAATTTTAAGTCCAGAGAATTGATTAATTATATCCATTAAACCTATAACCAAATTTATTGGTTGGGGCAAAGTCACAACCAGGTCATCTGCGAATGCTCGTACCCTGTAATCCTCATTCCTAATTTTAATTCCCCTTATTTTATCTGAACCACGTATTTTATTCAACAAAAATTCCAGAGTCAAAATAAACAATAATGGAGATAAAGGACATCCTTGTCTTGTTCCCTTTTCTATATTAAAAGTTTCCGTTAAACTACCATTAATTATTACTTGTGCTGTTTGTTGCTGATATATTGCCTTAATAGATTGTATAACATACTCTCCAAATTGCATCTTTTCAATTATTTTCAACAAAAAATTCCAGTTCAATCGATCAAACGCTTTTTCCGCATCTAAAAATATAAGCACCGCAGGGACTTAGTTGTTTTTTCCCAAATACTCCAATATATTAACTATTTGTCTTACATTACTCTTCATATATCGCCTATTAATGAAACCAGTTTGGTCATTGTGAATCATTTGTTGCATAACTGGCATCAACCTATTTGCCAATATTTTAGTA